AGAAATTAAAAATCACAGGATCAAGAGCACATGGATATATAAATGGTTGTCTCATGATTCAGACTTGAGTAAGCCGAAGCTGAGATGAACTGAACTGCCAGTCGACGATCATCCAGTATAATCGCATAGCATTAATGTCAATTTAATGAGCACTGCTTATATCTTGTTTGGTCGCTCTGGTTACAGTGAGAACTCATTGTGAGCACTGTAAAAGTCAGCTGACGAGACTACCGCAATCCAGAGTTTAAATACTCATCCTTTTGTGCCATAAAGCAAGTCTGGGTGACAGATTTATTTTATTTATTGAATGCGCAAAAAGTCAAGCCAATTAGAAGCTTTTCCAAAAATTGAGTTCGCCACTGGCAAGCCTCTTTCCATCTAAATTGATATTTAGTTGTTCCCATAGCGTCCTCTAGAAGTACGTTTTTAACGAATTCTTCTTCCCAGTTGTTCCTGCTACACAATAAACTCAAACAACATAAATTCTTTCCATTTAGTCAAGGACAATCTAGCAGGTGCGCACCGTTACAGAATCATGGATCCACAGGCTGTCTTTCTTACATGATGTAAGGTCACCGTGAATATAAATTGGAGTCAAGGAATTATAAGGGTAATATTCACATTAGCAAAGTTGTGTGAAATTCTTTCATCATGCCCTTTTTTCTTTGAACAGTGAATAAACATTGCTCCAGTTAGATATAAATAAAGTTGCAGGCTGTGTCAGAAATTTTAGCAATGTTATTGTCAGACCAACCATTCAATGACGAATGGATAGCGAGATTCGTAGCGTCATCTAACAAATACATGATCAGTGATAGCCGATCTAATATAAGTTGTTTTCGTTCATGTATTTTGAAACATTGTCCGTGAGCAAATGTTTCTTTTTGACGGGGAAGGCATTGCTCATGCCCCTTGAAAGGTGAAGAATGAAGAAATTTTGGCCACTTCTACCCGGATGAAACCTATGCAGTGTCATATAAGGTCGAGAGCGCAAGTAATTTTAGACTATATGACTAACTAGCGAGTAATGCTTTTACTTGTCATTCATCTGTAGTGGTTGAGTCCGTACTGCAGTGAATTCGTCATTAGTTTAAAAGGAGAAAAGAAAGATGGAAAACTACTTGGTAGTTGCGATGTCGATCATCTTTGCATTTCTACAGAGGACATCATTTGCGCTTTGAGCTATTCTTCTTTCATGGAAAGCATGATGCGACGCTGACTTACGTGTAAATACCATCGAGAACGAGTGTTTTGTTTTTGAAGGTAATATTGGCATTTGTTCGTTTCTCCTCAACGTACCGTGAAAGGATAAATAGAGCCAGGTTCTGACCAAGATGTTAGTCGGTGGAATTTTGATTTCGAGTTATTTCCTTGTCGGGTGAGGTAACATGTCATAAATGTAAAACGGTAGCATTAAAAGTTAACCGCTTATTTTTTTTCCATTTCCTTATGTCATCGATTAAATAATGTTGTACCTTCCTTCATGTTCATACTTTAGTGCACCCGGTCAATCGCTTCCCTCAATGGTGCATAACATGATGAGACAGCTTTAAGACTCAATGTCAAGTCAAACTTTAAGAATAAGGCAGTGCACGGTATCAAGCCTGAAAATATAATTCGCATGAAATATCTTTGATGACTATGATAGATATTTTTATTGTGCTTGCAAGCGACGATATATGGACAGTAACCTAGATGCTTTCCATTAGGATTCGTTGTCAGAAAATTCTGCTCATAGGCACTCTGGCCATTAAAACGTAAACGGATAAGCGAATCCTTGATTGCCATCATGCGGTTAGTGTTGGTTAACGAAAATATTGTCAGCGCCTTTCGCCCTGAATTGCGATACTTTATTTCGGCTTCATCTCCATGCTTGAATTTGTGGAATCATCCTTCTATTTTTGACAGTATTTTAGCAATGTATTCTCTTTAACAATCAGCATATGAAAGTGCCTCTCTAGCAGGTAATAATTGAACACTTTTTCTTTAGCTATTTTTGCTACAATTACGATATGAAATCGCAGTCGACTCGAGTTCTGGGTGATCTGCTGAGCGCTTTGGCCGAATTCCTTGTTTCCGTCTTTTCCGGCATCCAGCAGGGCCGGTTTCCGGAGCCGGCGCCGAACATTGTCATCAGTGACGTGAAGAACGTTTTCGTCTACAAAGGCACATTCGTTCCGTTGATGACGCTTGCGGCTTGTGGGATTCAAAAGGCTGGCTAGTAACTGATTTTCTATGTTTTCGCTTAGTGTTCACTACTGATCTGTTTGTAACTGAAGCATAGAAATGGTTGAGAAGGTCGAACCGCCCATTCTTCCCGCCAGTTACTTGATCACCGTCTATTATGGAACGATAACTGCCTTGATCAACAGCTTTGAAACGATACTCAACACTCCGCAAGATTCGTCAT